GAAGTTCCATAAAACTAGAGGAATAATTAACATAACGGTCAAATTTTATGCCAGAGTCAGCCAGAACGCAACCATGAATCAAATAATTAGAAGTGAAGGAGGGTATGAAGGTGATAAAAGACTTCCTCCATTTAATCAAATGCAGCTAATATTTGAGCAATGAAAATTATTTTAGCTATTTTCATCATCAAACATATTGTCAGTTAAAGAGAACCATGGATTAGCAATTGAAGCAAGAGAAACCTTAGCCTCAAGAACATAAAGCATATTAAGCTTGAAAGACTTAAACAACTCTTTTTCAGGAGAGAACTTTGACAAGGTCATTAAACCCTCTATTATTCCAAGAGGCTATGTTAGGAAGGATCATTGGGATTTTTTGTTTAAATTTTCTACCTTTTTGACAAATTTGGCCCTTGTATTTTTTGGAGGCTAGATCTTGATGGCTATATAAGAAGTGGAGTATTCTAATTTTGAGAAAGCAAAGAATCCACTTGGTTTAAAACTTCAAATTTGTTGTGACTATGGTTAGGGTCAGAGTTTTTCCTATTGCATTTAAATAAGGATAGAGGTACTAGACATTTCAAGCTCTCTAGTGGGTGAGTTTAAGTTAGAACTATTTCATTAGATTTCATGGTAGATGAGAGGGTGTTAGGATTGATGAGTGGTGGTTATAAAGGTGCTGCAATTTGATTGGGAGGAGCAAGATCACTAATAATTTGAACCAAAGGTGAAGAGTTTGTTGGTATACTGATGGCAAAATTTTATGGTTTAGAGTTATTGTCTTAGGTATCAAAGGAGTTTAAGGCATTTTGTTGATGGGTACAAAGAGGGAGGTTCCCATGCCACCTTGGTCTATGGCTAGTGCTACAACCCCTAGGGTTAAAAGGTTGGGCCGGTAAAAGTATAGGATTGGTAGGGATAACATTAGCTCAGTAGACAAAAGAGCTGCATCCAAATCATGGGGAGGGTTTCCGATTGTATATAACTTTGAGCCTAAATTTTATTCCCTTCTACACAAAGAGGGAATTCATCTAATAGGGGATAATTATTTTCAACTTGGACACAAATCCTGGAAAATATAAGATAGGATCTATTGAATATGAGCTTATTATTAACTAGCGGACTACTGATAAAACTTGTATTTTTTTATAAACACTTAGGGTTCTAGCAAAATAGCGGGACATCTAATATCTTGATCCAAAGAGGAATATAAGAGAACTCATTCCTCTTAGGTATGAGCTAGAGCAACCACTTCTGTAAAATAAATGGTTTGCCTAAGAAATAAGAAAAACTATGGACCTCTAGTCTAAGCCATCTCGAAATCATCTAGGGTGGAGAATTTTAGAAGAAAAAAACAATCACTAAGAGAAAGCAGATTCATTGTACCTTTAAGAGCCCAAGATTTTTTAATGGTAGAGAGTAATGCTTCATAAAAAGACCTCCTACATATGGAATAACTGACCAAGAAAAACTCTCAATCTTTCGCATCGACGGTCAATTCCTTAGAAGAGAACGAGGTAGAACCATCATATGGGGTAACAAAGTTAAGAGGGAACTATTTAGAAGCAGGATTTTTATCTAACACAAAGCTTTTCCAGTTTAGGGGGACATATTGGTAGATGTGAATAGAGGAAGGATTATGGCTAGGGTAAACATTTGAGGTAATGGGAAAAGAAGAGGTATTGGATATGGGAGGAAAGTCGGTAGAGTTTAAAACGGCCATGGAGAGGGGGGAAGGCTCTCCAGCAGAGCCATAAAAGAGGGACAGTGAAGGATGGTTCAGGGCAACGAGGTACTCTCTAAGGTTTCAAGAGGGGAGCACTTACCAACTTCTTCGAGAGAACATAAAGTTCCAATGTTAAGTGTTAAAAATACAAATTTGATGTTGGTGGAATTTAGTGTCAAGAGTTTATCAATAGATTTTAATATCATTATCAAATAAATTAGTTAGCATTCACTTATAAAAGCTTATTTTCAAATAAATACTAGAGAGTTGTAATATATTTATACACATCAATATGCAGACATATGCAATTTGTAGAGGTCAACTGAGCTTGCCTCAGAAGAGCTTGGCCAAGATGAATACTCATCTAAGACATGCCTTACTCAAAAGAAGGGACTACCCTAGAAAGATTTAGGAAGGATAAGTGTTTTCCCCACTGGAGCTTGCCACAGAGGAGCTTGGAATGAAGCACGCACCCAAATATATTTGACTGAGAAACCCTCCTCAATAGGCATTGATCCAAGGAGGCACTAACCTTATAAGAACTCACCTAAAAGAAATATTCACCCCAATTAAGGTAGCTAAATTAAGCCGATTCTTGATCCGATTTGGACTCGACTTGATAAAACTCTCATGAGCTAAACTTAATGAGCTAACAAGCCAAACTAGAATAAACATTGACCACCATCTCAAGAACCAACTCGTTTAAAATATATTTATAAAATTTACAAATAAAATTTATTAAAATTTAATGATTTTATTATATGTACATGTTCCTTATTTCAAGTGATTTTTTATTATTACTCAATTAATTTGTTATTCTTTATGTCATGTTATTATAATAACTTCATGTATAAAAATGATATTTTTCTCTTTCATAATAAATGAGCTAACTGGTGAGCAAACTTGAACTCGTAGAATTAATCTCGAGCTCATACTCAAACTCAATTACTTAATCAAGTTCAAACTCAAGCTAGGGGCGGCTCCAGCTTTGCTCGACTCTTTTAAATCCACATATTAGAATCAAAATAAGCAAAATTCAAATAGTAAAAAATATATTGAAAAATTCTTGATGTCATTATAATTAAAAGGCGCATCTTGATGAGATGAGTTAGATGAGCTCATGTTCGCTCAATTTCATATTTATTAAGGCATCGTAATGTCTAAATATTATAAATAAGCATGAAATGTCTATTAAGATTGTCCAATAGAGTGTTCTTTATAATGCTACAAGTTTTCAACTTTGCAATTAAATTTATCATGATAAATAAAGCTCTTTTACTGAAATTATTATTATTATTATTATTTGAATTGTTTAGTTCATATCATAAATTTATTATAATCATTTATTATAATCTTGATTTAGATTTTATTTGAGACAACTTTCTTATTGCTTTACTTTTCATATCACAATCATATTTTTTATTTGAACGCTACTTTCAAAAAAAAAAAAAAATTAAGCTAGAAAATTATTTTCTACAATAATTTTAAAAATTTTACTTCATTCGTAGACTAAAGGTTTTTGCTTGAGTAGATCTAAAACGGAATATATAGAGTGTAATTTTAGTAGTAATAAATCTAGTGAGGGGATTGTGACTTTGGGCGATCAAGTCATTAATAAGAGTACACGTTTTAGATATCTTGGATCTATTGTACTAAGTGATGGTGAAATAGATGGGGATATTATCAGCAGAATTCAAGTTGGATGGTTGAAGTGGAGGAATGCATCGGGCTTGTTGTGTGATATAAAAGTACCCCTCAAATTTAAGGGAAAATTCTATAAGATGGTAGTGAGGCCTGCAATGCTTTATGATGCTGAATCTTGGCCATTAAAAGAGAAGCATAATACTAAGTTAAGTGTGGCAGAGATGAGGATGCTCAGGTGGATGAGTGGCTTTACCCTTAGAGATAGAATACAAAATGAGCATATACATGAAATGTAGATTTTATTGTTTTTAGGTTGGAGTAGCTCCAGTAGAAGATAAGATTATAGAGAGTCGCCTTAGATGGTTTGATCACATAAAACGGTGGCCTTCCAATAACCCGGTTAGGAGAGTAGAGGTATTAGATTTGACTTATGTTAAGAAAGGTAGAGGCAGACCTAAAAAGACTTGGTTAGAAAATATTAGGAATGACCTTTCTTTACTAGATTTAAATGAGAATTTGACCTTTAATAGGACACAATGGAGAAAATAGATTCATGTAGCCGACCCCACGTAGTGGGATAAAGGCTTGATATTGTTGTTGTTGTTGCACTAAAACTTTTAAAAACAATAAAAAAATATCTCAAATAAAATCTTAATCTTAAAATCTTACAATAAATTTTAGAGTTCTCACCAACAAAGCTAGGAGTCAGTTTTCACAAACCTCATCGAATTACATGACAAAGATGGATTTAAATATATTACACACATAATTATAATTAATTAATTAAAAAATATTTATTTAAAATATATCAAATATTCAACCCATAAATGTAACATAAATTTTCATAATACGTAACACTATGAAAGCGCCCTTATAAGTGAAAACCTTGCCATTGAATTGATCACTCCACACCTTCCTGCTTTTATATTGCATTGATCCTACAATTCTTGCTAAAAATGCAGAGGCCCTTTCTATGATACTAATTATTGGGGAAAAGAGTGCCTGAAATCAATGATGATTATATTCTATAACATGAGAGAATTCATAATGTTCGATGAGATCTACCCATGCTAATAGTCACATATAGAGATAAATACAAAGCAGTTCAAAAATAAAAAAAATTAGATACAAATATTTATTCTCAAGTATTTCCCTCAGCTCTATCTCACTTTTATCTCAATTTGAACACAATTCCTCCAACTTTGCTCATTGAAGATAGAGAAAGATCTATCGCCATCTACATTGAACTACTTCATAGATCAAAAGCTCTGAGAATTATGGGACAACGTCCAAATTCGCACACACTTTAGATACACATGACTCGAATCCAAGACGTCTTAATTAATAGCAAAATCATCCGATCAACAAACGAAGGAGAGCTGTCTTATAATAAATACATACTGATTTTCTCTTTTGAAGGCCGGTAGCTTTCACTTGGTGAAATTATTACGTACTGTCACCGAACGTCGTCTGGAGGCGAATCAGGACGTGTCATGTCATGATTTTGCTGTGTACCACGGCTGTGTACCGGATAACGTGACGCATCCTGATTTGTCTACGAACGATCTGTTGATCGCACGTAATAATTTCTTTCACTTGACACCTCTAGCCTTTTAGTGCTCATTGTCAGCACTCCCAACAAAGAAGCAATTTTATATAACACTGACTAAAATAACAATTTATTACACTCTGATGATTGTATCTACTATGAGACATAAATGTATAATTTAGAAAAAAAAAAATTTCATGTTTTGAAAATTTATCATTCAAATAATCTGGAAATAACATAGGCGACTTCAAGCATTTAGAACCTCTTCCCTCTTAGAGAACCTTGAATAAATTATACAGACAGCTTTGTAAGGCCAACGATCATTTGGGATACAGAAGGAAAAACCAAAGCATTTTGATAGCAGAACTTTACACATTCCAGGCCAATGGTATCATGATCAAGACTGAGCAGGTGTTGAACCGAAGCAGCACAACCATTTTTTCTGCAGGTGGAAAGAATTACACTATGATGTAAGCCATGGATATTGAGCTCAGCCACAAAGCAAAAAAGAAAAGGCTAAATTGCCTGCTGTTAAGCCTTGGGTAGAATGATGAATTTCAGTGTTATTGGATTTGATTTGAGATGAATTCAATACATGAGAAATTTATTAAATTTTACATTACAGTCTAACAGCAAGAATGGCTTCTCAAGACATGAGACCCTAAACAACTAAATCAGAAGACTGGATTAATTCATTTTTTATCCAAGATAATAAAGCCATTCATGACAATTTTGAAGAAAAATAAAAATTATTGAAGATATTTATATAAAATATGTAGAAAAGATGATCAAATGTAATATAGCTCCCGACTGCAGCTATATCAAAACATGTTATTAATGCCGTGTGTCCTCATGAAAAGTTGCTTCTAACCACGGCTCGATTAGGAGCTCCTACCGCGAGTTTTCTCAATTTAGATCTTGTTTGGGACAGCTTTTGACCACTGTGTTTTCATTATTTAAAAAAAAAAAAAATTTGAACTTAAAAGGTGTGATAAAAAACAGTGAGAAAGCCGTGGTTTGAGACTTAGGCTTTGTTTGGGACAGCTTTTTTTCTGCTTCTTAAAGCACTTTTTAGTACAAAAATTAAAAGCTGCTTTAAAAAGTAGAAAAAAGGCGTCCCAAACGAAGCCTTTATAGATAACTTGCAAAGGTTAACTTAATGAGTGAACAAAGAAATTAAGAACTTACAGAGCTACGCTTTGAAGTGGAATATGCGGTTCCCTGTTTTTCAGAAGAGAGGTCCTTTGCAGGGGAGTCAGATCCTTGGGCATTAGTGCCAGTTTTCCTCTCATCCCTAGCTTTGTTGAAGATTACTGTGAAACTCTCGGCAGAAGCGGGATCATTAACATCCCATTCACCGAATTTTGGCAGGGGGCGGTCTGTGTTCTGCAAGAAACCAAAAGCTCTGTTTCATAATTGCAGATTACAGCAAAACTATGTTTATGTAGATCGAATTCTTTATTGCATTCCAAGGATTTTACCAAAAGAGAGAGAGATTTTCTATGGAATAGAACAAATCAAGAAGACGGCAAAATCTATAAAATAAGCCAGTATCAACTACATTACTGAGAATAATTAATGAAAAATCCAAGGGTGTGGACCGCGTGGGCTTATGCCGGAATTTATATATAGTTTTGGTACATTAATAGTAAAGTATATGGCATATTACGCAGATGATTAACTTTCACTATCAATTAAATTTGAATACAGAGGTTTTCCCACTTCCAAGTAGTTTTAGGGGTTGTAATGAACAAGATAAAATATTCCTTTGCAAGAACTGGGATACTAATCAGCACCCTATGCTGTCTAATAGTTGGTATCCCCACCTACAAATTGGATTAAGTTGAATGTGGATGCTTATTTGTTGCAGTCTAATGTGGTAAGTATAGAAGATGTTTTGCGGGATCATAAAGGCAGATTTCTTATGGCTTATGGGAAGAAGTTGCTTCATTGGGACATATCTGTATTGGAATTAATCGCAATTTTCAATTTCAAGGATTTTATTCAAGGATGGATGAATGATAAGCATGGCATTATTATTGAAGGTGATAATATCAACGTGATGAAACTTTTGCAGAATTCAGTGTTGAGAAATTGGAATAATGCTATGCAAAAAATGGATTTCTCTTTTTTAGACTGTTTTCATAATGTAAATTTTCATTTTGTGTCAAGGGAGGGTAATAGAGTGGCGGATGTTTGTTCTAGGCATGCCCTCTTTAGTGATTTTTATTGGGATACTTTTATTTCTAGTGAACTTCCTTCAAGTGTTGTTGACTTGATTAAGAAGGATTGTGATAGGATTTCTATCATATAGGGTGGTTTGTATCTTTCTTTTCTATTGCTTTAATGCCATTGCATTTCTTAAAAAAAAAAAAAAGTGGTTGTAGGGAGGCGGGGACAAGGACAGGCCCAAAGGTGTTGATAGTAACTGAAGGCAACAACAAAGGGCAATAGCTGTGGAACTAGTAGTAATAACGAGCAAGCAATGGGTTCGACTCTGATAAACAATGATAAAATTTGAACACAGCTAAAATAGGCGGAAATGCAAGGGACAACATCCATGGCTGCGGGATGAGCAAAAACACAGAATGTTAAATGTGTGTTCACCAAATAGGTTCATGAAATTAGGTATAGTCTTATATATTATTCAATCAATGTTTTCTTTGGCATCACACGCATCTCCTGTTTCTTTATTTTCCAACTGAAGATTTCATGTGGATTTTTTACAACACAAGTGATGCACTTGCGATCCTCCTATGATGTTTGGAATCAACAACCATTTTTGTTAGTGAGATTTCAGCCTTTCTTGCCTTGGGTGCAAGCAAGTTTAGAGCAACCCCTTCGTCTTGCTCCTCCCACAACTTCCTCCTCTTGCAGCTTTCTTGGTTTCCTGTTTCGGCTTTTGCCTCAATGACTTTTGTATTACAGGTATTGCTTCAATGACTGCTTCTCCTTTCTGCAGCCCTTTTGTTGACCAGGTTCTGAGATCTGTTATCTCCTTCTTGCAGTCTTCCAGTTAATTGGGATCTATGATCTTTGTTTCAGCAGTTTTTGTTTCTCTATTTCTACATCTTTCATAGTGTGACCAGAGTGTGACTCCTTTATTACTTATGAGTGATTCAGGGAAATTTCATGATTATTAATAGGGCCTGAGGAGAGTACAAAAACCAAATTTCTGACTTAAAAAAAATTATTTGGATGGGATATTCCTCGTACTTTCAATATTCATTTTCTTATGAAATAAAATATATCTTCTTGCACAAATATGAGACTTTCAAGTGAATTATTTCCCAACTTTCTTGCTCATCTCTACCTTTTTTTTCTTCAGACACTGTTTACCATCAATTGCATGAAATTTTAGGCGTTGCATGACTTTTTTTATTGCTAATCTCTACCATCTAATTTCTAGGCTATTGAATTTTTTTTTCCGAGTTGATTTTAGATGAATTTTCATCTTTCATCTTAGGTATTGAACAGTTGCTTGAGATTAACTATCAGCATCCAATGAGTTTTGCATACTAGTTACAAAGTTTCTCACATCTACACATAATTTTTAAACCTTCAGCCATCTTACATTGGCAAGGAAAGCTATGGTCTTTGCCTTTGGCACTTAGCATTAATGATTCTTGTTGAGCCATTTCAAGGATGAGATGATCTCCCAACAACATACTGGCGCGATTAATCTTCAAAAAAATCTACATCTTTTTATAAATCTGACAAATTGTTTATGCAAATAGTTAGAACTAGTAAAAGTCTACTAAATGCAGCACAGGATCATGCATATTCATTGCAATATTGCTGGTATTCTACAGTTTTCCCTCATTTTTGAACTTTCTACGAAGAGCAGCCTTACCCTAGCAGAGCACAGAATACATGCAGCAGTACCAAGCAAATTTTGGCAGAATGCTTAAGCGTTGGTAACTGGTAAGTTATAGTACGACAAGTATGACAGTAGAAATAATACATGAAGGCAAATTAGTTACTGCCATATGCATAGTGACAGAATACTTTGAACCAACATTGTCAACGTGAAAAGTAGAGGGTCAAGAAAAACACAAAGTGGTAAGCACCGTACCCAATGTTAATTGGATCACAAGATTATATCATTATAAACTTCTACACTCGTAGTGTAAAATAAGGAATATAACTAAATCACAAAGCCAAGACAAATGAATAAAATGAAAACATCAATATTAGGAAGAGGTTGGAAATGCACAATGCAATGATAATTTGACTAGAAAATCACCCCAACAAATTTATAAAAAAAAAAAAAATGCATATTGAAGAAAAGATGCATACTGTTAATGTAAAATAAAAAGAAGAAAAAGAGGAGAGTGAAAACCACTGTAGATGTTAGGTTTTGAAGGGTCACCGTCATCATCACCATCATCATCATCATCAACAACAACAGCTTAATCCCAACCATTTGGGGTCAACTTTATCAATCCTCATTCTTCATTCATTGCTATTGTTATGGTGGATTGCATGAAGTGCTAACATTCTTTTGTGCAAATATTTTTGCGTAAGTTCTAACTAATTTACATCCAATCTATCCATTTTCTTCCAAATCCTTTCACATTTAACATGCCCTTGTTATTGGTACTTCTTTTATTATTTCCTTTTACATGTTCAAACCACCTACACTTATTTTCTGCTACTTTATTTTCAATGGATGTTACTCTCACCATTAATATGATATAATCATTTCTCAACTTAAATTTTCATAAACAATACAAAAATATACAAACTTAATTTAAATCCTTGATTGGCAATGCCTTGTTCACTCTACAATTATTTTTAATATGAATCAATGCTCCATGTATATTTGTAATATCCTCAACATATCATTGACAACTTTTTTTTTGTTAATGCACGTTAGATTAGTTCTTATGGGACTTCTTTGTGAGCCTTCTAAATATCTGTTATGATTTCCAATTTGAATTTAAATTGGAGAAGGAATATTATTTAGGGATGTTCTTAAAATATGTTTAATTGTTTATGAAAATTTTATAAATCATGTTTAATTATTTAAAAAGGTTTCATAAATTATGTTTAATTGTTTAGGAATGTTCTATTTATGATTTTGTATTCTAGGACTATTTAAGGGGAAGTTATCTATGGTTTAGAGTATGCTATTGTTGAGTTTTGTATTTTGTTGTTCTTTTCTTTGCGGGCTTCCTAATGATATCTAGGTTGATTGGGAGAGCTCTTCTATCTCTCTAATCGTAGATCACCTATATCTTGTTCCCATATTGAATTGATAATAAAAAAGATCAGTCATTGTAAGAGAGTTACTGCAGTTTTTACTATTTCTTTTGTTGTTTTTACTTCCAAGACGTATCAAATTGGTATTAGAGGGAGATTTTAGAGAGATAGCAATAAAGAATGTGGATGCGTTGAAAGGCAAAGTGGAGCAACTCAAATCCCGGATGGAGAAAAAGTTCTTAACAATCAAAGGAAGGTTTACAACAATGGAGAACCAATTAGAATGGATGAAGAAAAAGAAGAGGAAGCTCATTAAGATGCAATCCCACCAATGGTTTCGATTACTAACCCTAAACAAGATTTGACCGGGAATCCCTTGACCAAATCTAAGGGAAAGGAGATCATATGGGAGAAGTTTGACGAGGAGAGTTTCTTTCATCAAGAGCCATCTCCTAGGGCTTCGATAAGATGTGAATTAGGGTTTTAGGATGTGGGGACAACAAGGAGGGAATTTTGTGATGGAGGTGGTAGGATGACCAACAAATATTGGAGGCATTTCACGCAAGTAGAGTGGGCGATCAAAGATGGAGGGGATCGAGCTGAGCTGGCGTCATAATCACTAGATGAATAAAGTTTCTCTTTCTTCAGGGGACAAATCCACCACAGCACCGGGTCTATTTCAACAATTGTGTCCTCATCAAAACAATTTATGCCTTCACAACTTCTAACACATCAGCAACAGGTGATGGTTCATCTCCATCCAACTCTGTCTCATCTTTCATGATTACAGTCTCATTTGTTCAGATCTCATCCTTCGTCATCTATGATGAAGGAAAATAGATTTAATGCAGTTCTTGGCATGGCTGAACAAAAAGGACATAGGTTAAAACTGTCTAAAGGAAAACAAAGCATGCGACATCAACACAGTTCTGACACTGTCAACCAGATGATCCATAGTGTTTCATTGCAGTTTAGATCAAAATACATGTCTGCAGAAGAAATAGAAAGCATTTTGAGAATTCAGCATGCTACAACACACCACAATGACCCCTACGTTGATGATTACTATCATATGGCCTGCTTAGCAAAGAAATCTACTGGTTCAATGTTGAAGCATCATTTTTTTTTTCATCCTTATCAGAGATGTTCCTTCTCGAACACATCCAATTAATGGGCCATGTGCTTATCATCAAGTTATGTGCTCCAAAGGATCCCATTTTCATTCATCCGTAGGCCACGTCCCCTTCTTGAAGGGGACCCACCAGCCACTCATGGCGAAGAAATCCTTGAACAGAGAACTTCTGTTAAGCCCCTTGACCAAGAGCCAATGTTTGCTGCCAGAATCACCATTGAAGATTGTATGTGTCTTCTTCTTGATGTGGATGAAATTGATGGGTTATACAGTTTGGCCAATCACAAGATAGTGGCTCCCAACTCAAGTGGAGGCAGCAAGTCCATCTTGAAGGTATTGCAGCATCACTTCAATTTGTTGATCCATTTGGACCCGGAAAAGCTGGTCACTCCATTGGGCTTACTACAAAGGATGATATTGCGTTCTTTCGTTTAGTCTCTTTTCCTAAAGGTGAAAATATACCAACATCTGGATCTGGTAGTCCTTTTTCATGGGAAGAAGAGCATTTGCTGAAGGAATATATTTTATATGTCATTTTTTAAAAGCCAAAAATAACAAAGTTACAATTCCTTCATGGTTTGGAGAAAGACCTTGAAGGCATGGAATATCATATGTGGAACACATGACGTGCATTTCTACTCATCTTTTGCCCTTATCATGTTTATTTCCAAAGCTTGAGCTCAGCCTTCAAAGATACTTTCTGCTGCTAGTGTATTTGATTCTGAAAGGACATAATGAAAGCTCTTAGGAACAAGCACCCAAACTTGGCCAGTAAACTTGAGGCATTGCTATTAGAAAAATGCTCGAGATTTGTTACTCTTCCTGAGGAGTGGCTTCTTGCTGTTGTTGATGCATTACTTCATCATTGCTACAAGTATCCAATTACTACCACTGCTGAGGCTCCACAATCACTTAAAAAATAGCTATCGGGAATTTATAGGATTTGTTTCTCTGCAGATGCTATGAATAAGCATGTTGATTTTGTGAGGAAATAAAAACAAATTTGAATACGATCTGGATCCTGGGAGCACAAACATATTTTTTGCTACCCTCTTAAAATTAACCAATAAGCAGAAGCACTAGAAGAGCAGTAGTTTCCTTCAAGGAGAAGGTGAGTTTTTTTTTTTTTGGGGGAGGGGCCCCCCCCCCTTACGGGGCCCAGCAAAGATGTGATTCATTATATTAGGAGGAGGAAATTATTTAAGAAAAGATTTACAATTTGAATTTAAATAGGAGAGGGAATATTATTTAAAAATGTTTCCTAAAATATGTTTAGTTGTTTAGGAACATTTCCTCAATCATGTTTAATTATTTAGGAAGGTTTCCTAAATTATGTTTAATTTTTTAAGAATGTTCTATTTATGATTTTGAGTTCTAGGGCTATTAAAAGGGAAGTTGTCTAGGGTTTAGAGTATACTATTGTTGACTATTATGTTTTTTTATGGTTCTTTTCTTTGAGGGTTTCCTAACGGTGTCTAGGTTTATTGGGAGAGTATATCTACCTCTCTAGATCACCTATATCTTGCTCCCATATTGAAGTGATAATAAAAAAAATCAGCCATTGTTAGAGTATTATTATTGCATTTTCTACTATTTCTTTCAATATTTTTACTTCAAAAATGTATCATGAATGTCATTCGTAGTTAAGGCAATAGAAAATTATCTCTACATCGACACAACTACTAGCATGCAATAGTTTGATTTCTAGTAAAAAACATGTCCTAAATCTCTTGATCCATTAAACATTAAAGGCTACTTGAACACAAGGGCTTCAATAGATCTTCTCAATGGTAAACAAGGGAAGCATGGGAACACGGGGTCATCACACTCCACCTTACAATGCTAGGAGGAATTCCATTAATGAAGGTATTTGTTGTCCATACCTTTAAGATCATGTTGGGCAAATTTTAGAATCCAAGAACAAGATCCCTTATCTCTTATGCAAATCTTGTAGGCCGAAACCATCATGCCACAATATTATGCAATCTCGTCTATCTCTTAGCTTGTTGCACCTCCAAAATCATTAGACCAATAAAATCCAAATACTTGTATCCCTCTATCAAGCTAAGGTTCTCCTACATCCTTTGTCAGACGATGACCTTCTTGACACTGCCAACTCCACCCACTCATCTCCATTGAGGGATGACATTTCTCCCCTCAAATAAGATTAGCAAATTCACATCAAACTCTAATTAATCGTATTCTATGTGTTTCATGAAGAACAGCATTTCCTTTTCCAAAAGTAGTTTCCCTAAGCAAGAGAAATCGACATATGCCTTTCTATAATTTCTAAGAAGAATCATTAATCTCCACCTACAACCTATACTTTCATGATACAAGTTGTTGAATATCAAACCTAATGACAGGATTACAAACTCATATGAGCATATTGAACATTGAGGCCATCAAGCATATTCAGCATGCCTTTGATTTGCTTTTGTTTTAGGTTTCGTCAGCTACACTCCAGGGTATAATATATATATATATATATATTCTACTACCTATGCTAGAGCTCAATTAATGCCTTCATAGCAAATTAAAGACTCATTAAGGAAACCTCCTATTCCTTATACTTCATCAAAATGAATGAAAATCACTTAAGGAGTACATCCAAAGATTATCCATAACAGCTCATAAGTATCTTATACCACTTTTTGTCATTCACCACTCACTGGCTCCAAACACATGACTTGATCGCTCTAGCATTTGAGCAATTCAATTCCAAAAATCATTCTTAACAATCACCACCTCAGTTCCAGGTTCCATCTTAATCAGCAAAACCAAAAACAATGCAACCATGTTTAGTGTAACGATGGCATCTACACATTTAAAAACTCCATGAATCTACGAAATCCACCAAATAATTGTGATAAGGTTATTGATGATGATGAAGCCTGGTACATTGGTTTCAATTTTTCCCTTCTCTATTCTTTCGACCCTCCATGCTAAAGTGTTGTTTGGTTTTGTCCTATCACCAAACAACAGAATGCTGCTCATTTGGTTTGTTGACATCTTCAATTCAGATGCAATCCGTGTTGACTAGATGCGAGCAAGCATTAAATACCATCATCTAAATGGCTGAACGAAACGAACAAAAAACAAATTACTTTACATATAATCTCACAAATAAAACAACAAGTGATAGATTGTATCGCTGCTTAAATAGCACTAAAAACAAAACGTCGTCAGTATTGCGAAATAAACATTGCATCAAAAAGCCCCTTAATCAATAAAGCTTAACGGGATAGGAGATCAATACTTCATACCTTCTCAATTATCGCACTCGCAAATACCGTCGCCATAATATCACCGAATAACAAGCGAAAAAACTCAGCATGCGCGAACATAAATCTATAAAGAAACGTGAATTACAGGGGAAAATAAAAAGCAAACACCAAAATGATGGTCAAATCAACAAGCTCTACAAATCTAAAGCAGAAAGATCTATCTATCCAGCTCGATTCCAACAAACAAACTAAATATCACAAACTTTATCGGCTACAACCACTACAAGATCTGCGCGAAGCAACCAATCGACCAAAAATCAAAACTTGGAACTTATTAGATCCGTCGGTAGCAAATAATGATAGAAGAGACAAATCAGATCTTACCGGCATCGATCGTTCCTCTGCGGATGCAACACCGAGCGAAAGCAGGGGAAGATAAACTGAATTTTATGTAACGTAAAGTGTCATCAATAGTGCCACAGACCAATGATTTCAGAAGATGGAGGGGGGCGCCGCGCCGCCAGAACGCCGTTATAGATCACGGCTAGAGTTGAGGCCGTCAACTAAGAGAGGGGGCCGGCATTATAAGAGAGAGACGGAAGGAACGGAACGGGACAGTGTGAACGGTTTTGCTGGCTTTGTTCAACGTACGCGTCTAGGCGTGGGTCCCGCTTTCTCGCTGGTAAGGTCAAAATTTAGACCTTTTTTTACTTAGCCATTTTGCTAGTAATAATATTCCTGTTGAAAATGGTGTGACCTAATTACTAGTTAAAATTTTCAAAGGTAATTGTCAAGGTCTTAGGATAACATTATTTTAATTTTAAATTTATATTTTAACACCCAATATTTAAAAAATAATTAAAATATAAAAATATTAAAAAGGGTGAAAATTAAAATTATAAAATGAAGTGGGTGATGATATGAATATATGGAGTTTTTTGTGAGAAAATTTTAAATTAATTATATTTTAATGGTTATAGGAGATTTTACAATATCTTAATTTATTAGTGATAAATCTATTATAAGCATTTTTCAAAAATAAATTAATTATTAATATATTTTTTAAACTTTTTCATGCGGTGCTCTCTTACTCTTTAAAAGTTCCAACATGAAAGAAATTTTATATTGTATTGTTTCATTAGAATCACTAATAACTAACTCCATAGTTGCTCATGTTATTCTAATGTTTTATGTTATTTACATTTTATCATTTTTGCTTCATTATGCTTTCATTATAAAAAAATAATAAAAAAAAAGCTTTCAACATAGTGCCCTTAGTCGTCTTTCAAATGTTATATTATACATAAGGTTGAGACGTAACATACTTTATCAAGCTATCTAATTGAGATCAAGTTCCTCTTCAAGTTAAGAACATGCCTCACATTTTAAAGCTTCAATATGTTACCATTATTAATCTCGTTTTGCACATCACTGACTCCTATAATGATCAAGAATTCATGATCATTACAGGAGCCAGTAATGTGAGATAAACTTACTAGAAGTCTTAGATATAATGCTTAATTACAAAATATAGGTGTAGAATATAATGAAATAACCAAGTTGTATAACATCTAGGACATCTTGGGAACAATGGGGACCAATGCACGACATTTCACATCACTTGTAGTAATCACAAATTCCTCTATTTGATTTGAACTATATCCAATATCTAAAAAGGTAGTAAAAGAAAGCATCTTATACAAAAATACTACTAATAAGCATAAATAACAATGGAGAAAGTAAGCCACCTAAAAAACTTAAACTAATTATGCATAGACCCATTTATAATAAATGAGGAAGCGACTTGGCAAAGGAGAAAAAAAATATTTATTAGAATATCTTGACCAAAAAGTTATCACGATGTGTCTACGTGGAGTTAGCTACATGAATTATTTTTCTCCATTATGTCATATTAAGAGTAAAAATGATTTTTTCTACCTAAGTAATACATTTATGGGGAAATATATGCTAGATAATAAAGATAGAATAAAACAAATATTAGAGTGCTAATACAAGGCCCGACATAAACGTCCGGCTCAAATATGATACAAAAATTTAGGATTATGATCAATAAGTATAAGATAACTTTAGATGACCCAAAAATTTTTTATTGAGTTCTATGAACTTGAAAGCCATAACTTGCTTGATAAGTGAATTCCTTCTTTTAGTTTTTTTCTTTTATTTTCATTATAATTGATATCTAATAAAAACTTGCCTCACATTTTAAAGCTTCAATATGTTACCATTATTAATCTCGTTTTGCACATCACTAACTCCTATAATGATCAAGAATTCATGATCATTACAGGAGCCAGTGATGTGAGATAAACTTACTAGTAGTCTTCGTTATAATGCTTAATTATAAAATATAGGTGTAGAATATAATGAAATAACCCAGCTGTATAACATCTAGAACATCATGGGATTATTCACAATGAGGACCAATGCACCACATATCACATCACTTGTAGTAATCACAAATTCCTCTATTTGATTTGAACTATATCCAATATCTAAAAAGGTAGTAAAAGAAAGCATCTTATACAAAAATACTACTAATAAGCATAAATAACAATGGAGAAAGTAAGCCACCTAAAAAACATAAACTAATTATGCATAGACCCATTTATAATAGCTAAGGAAGAGACTTGGCAAAGTAGAAAAAAAATATTTATTAGAATATCATGACCAAAAAGTTATCACGATGTGTCTACGTGGAGTTAGCTACATGAATTATTTTTCTCCATTGTGTCATATTAAGAGTAAAAATGATTTTTTCTACCTAAGTAATAAATTTATGGGGAAATATATGCTAGATAATAAAGATAGAATAAAGCAAATATAGAGTGCTAATACAAGGCCCGACATAAACGTTCGGCTCAAATATGATAAAAAAAATTTAGGATTATGATCAATAAGTATAAGATAAGTTCAGGTGACCCGAGAATTTTGTATTGAATTCTATGAACTTGAAAGCCATAACTTGCTTGATAAGTGAATTCCTTCTTTTAGTTTTTTTTCTTTTTTTTTTTCATTATAATTCATATCTAATAGAAACTCATTTGTTCTTTTTCAAGTTCGTATGTACAAATGAGGTTATCATGTTCAATTTCTGCCTAGATAATACTAACTAACATGACTTAACTGTTAATTGTACTGCTCCCAAACAAGTTTAGATTTAGGGTTCGTTTGGGACGGCTTCCATACTGCTTCTAAACGAAGCTTTTAAGTATAAAAATTTAAAAATTTTTACTAAAAATTGTTTTAATAAGCAGTAAGAAAGTCGTCACAAACGAAACCTTAGTTGAGTCTAGTTTAAATCGAGATTTTCAATACATCTAGTTGGATTCAGGTTGACTCTAGATGCAAAAATCAAAATCTTTATCCAACTCTAATTTAAAGTTAGTTTTCTTCTTTGTTGTTAAGAAAGGCATGCATGCTTAAATTGATTAATAAGAGAAGGTGAATGAGCAATCTAATATATTAGCTAAAATTTTGGGAAAAAGACTTAAGGCAATGATTAAGCAAATTGAGAAGCTCAATATTACCCTTAATATAATCTTATTTGAAATATTTTTTAATAAATTATTTTAATATTATTTTCCCGATGCCCCCATCACACTGCATAGTAAATTTATTGCCTTCATGAAAAAAAACATAGTCAAAGAGGATATAGAAAAGAAGACTTTTGAAGAGCATAATATAAATAATAGTCAATGAAAAAAGAGGACACAATAGAGAAAAATAATTCTTGTTGTGGACCCTACTTAGCGGGATAAATGTTTGATGTTCTTGTTGAAGAAAGGAGCTTAAGACTGAAATTTTTTTAAAATTTTATTTATAAAGACATGGATAATTTCTTTTATGATAAAATACTAATTACTCTCAATAATATTATTCTTTCTCACACACGAAATCTTAGCCATTTGCCCCCAAAAAAATCTCATCTTTTTGACAAAACTATAAAATTTCTTCAACTCTTCAAGGTTGTGTAGAAAGAGAACAAAAATAGATTATTTAATGGTGCATGGCTGATAATTATGTTTAAAACCAAAAAGTTTCTCTGATCCTCATGTGAGAATCTTAAAAGATTCAATTCGAAATCAAAATCTATATGCTCCATCTCTAAAGTGCTCGTTATAAATAATTTCAATTCAATTCAAAATCAACTCGATATATGATATACACACATATTTATATATTAATTCATATATACTTATAGATTTTTTAGATAACTAATAATCATGATTAATAAAACAAAGTTTTCTATTAAAATTAAAGATTTTATTCCAATGAAGCACAATATAATATAAGAAAATCAAAATTATTTAATGGCTAATTGATATAAATAAATATTTTCATTAAAAATTTAAAACTTAAAACTAGGGGTGTCAATTTCGGGTCACGGGTCGGGTTCGGGTCGAATCCGGAACTGACCTGGGTTCAAACGGGTCAACCCTAACCCGACCCGGGTAGATAAACGGGTCGGAAATCCGAACCCGGACCCGACCCGGTGGGTTGCCGGGTTGACCCGACCCGACCCGGTGGGTTGCCGGGTTGACCCGACCCGACCCGGTTTT